CGTGTCGACAAAGAGGGCCAGCCATGTCCTGGAGTGCATCAAGCACTGCATTGCGAGCTGGTCAAGATCATCCCGCTCTACTCTGCACTGGTGCAGCCTCACCTCGAGTACTGGGGGCAGTTTTGGGCACCACAGTATAAAAAGGATAAAAAGCTACTAGAGAGTGTCCAGAGGAGGGTCACAAAATTGCTGAAGGGCTTAGAGGGGAGGCCGTATGAGGAGAGGCTGAAGTCACTTGAATTATTCAGCCTAGAGAAGAGGAGACTGAGAGGAGATCTCATTCCAGTCTACAACTTCCTCACAAGGGGAAGAGGAGGGGCAGGTGCTGATGTCTTCTCCCTGGCAACCAACGATAGGACCAGAGGAAATGGCAGGAAGATGTGCCAGTGCAAGTTTCAGTTGGACATGAGGAAAAGGTTCTTCACCCAGAGGGTGGTGGAGCACTGGAACAGGGTCCCCAGGGAGGTAGTCATGGCACCAAGCCTGACAATATTCAAGAAGCATTTGGATGACACCCTCAGACACATGGTCTGAATCTTGTGACTGTCCTAAGCTAGGGCAAGAGTTGGACTCAATTATCCTTGTGGGTCCCTTCCAACTCACAACATTCTATGAGTCTATGATTCTAACGTACAATAGTTGTTGAAACATTTAATCTTCTAGTGTCCTTTTACTACCTAAATAGAAACAATTAACACATAGGAAACCAACGCTGCTGCATTAGCTCACTTTTCTGACACATAATGAAAAAAACCTAATTATATTCCTCAAACAGGTAAGCTGCTATTACAACAAACACCTCTGAAAATACACTGCACCTGAACAAGCAAGAAAGGTTGCAAAGAAGTACTGCTTTACATTTTTATAAAGCAAAAAGCTATTGGGAGGAAGTCAAAATTCAGAACACAGGCATAGACTGAATCAGTAGTAGCTTTGTCCTTCACTCTACTGGGTGTAGGGTAAAACTTTTTAGTGATAAATATGAGTCTTAAAAGAAGACAGAGTGATTAGATGAAGCCAGAGAAACTTATCTGGTTGTTCTATAAATTAAGAACTTCTTAAGGTTATTAAAAAAAAAAAAAATCACATTCTAGTTATACCTCACAAGAGGTGAATATGAAATGGCACAACAGATTTTAGCACAAGCCGAGACAATCAACTTTCAAATACAATCCAGGAAAGATGATGTTTGATCTCAGAAGGGCACTAAATTCATAAACTGCTCTTAGTCATCTAAGACCGCATTTCTCTTCTGAGAATTACCGAGAAAACTCACAGTCTGTAGACATATTCATCAGTTCAGTTATGATTTATAGACTATGCATAACAGAAAGATTTGACTCCTAAGTAGACTTTAAAAAACATGAGCCAATATGTAGATTTAAAAAAAAATTTAGAATAATCTCTCTGTGTCCAAATGTATTCTTCCTCTTGCCTTCTCAATACAGAGCACAGTCCACTACCAATTGCTCAGAACTAAAAAGTTATCTTAGCAATCACTCCTGGGAGTTCTTCACTCTCTGAAGGGAGCTAAACCTTTGCAGATTTTGATGATATCAACAGGTTTCATACTCTGTACCTACAAATTAAACCTCAAGCAGTCAAAGTATTACTCCCAATGCTACTTAATTCTTTACTGAATATAAGAGCTGAGTAAGTGCAAAGAATGAACATGTGAAACAGCTTTACTCCTTGATATTTTATGTCTTGAAACACCAGTACCATTTGCCTCTGGAAAATCAACTAATATTCTGGTCTTCCTCATGTATTAACCATAAACCAGCAATATTACTTAAAATTTCCATCAGTTTCTTGACACTTACCCTTCCATATCTGTTGGCATAGGACCCTGTAAGCAAGGAATGGAAAATGATGATTGTCTCATCCAAATCCCAAATGAATACTCTCTGTAAAAAGAGAATCAAATCAATGTGTTCCTTTGTGAAGCTCATACTTGAAATGGAAAGTTAAAATTTGAATCGCTAAGAGCACAAATGAGAAAATTGTATTGAAATGGTTACATTCCTTGCCATTTATTTTCAGAACTAACAAGTTTTTTTCCAGAATAGGGTAATACAATCTGGTAGCTTTTTACTACATTTTCTATTATATCAAATTATTCTATTAGAATAAAATTATAGCTATTGTCAAATACACACAGAAAATTAGATGTACGCTGTATTATTTTAAAGCCAGATGTGAGATAGAAACTGACATAAATGAAGAGAAGCCTCTGAAATGTAAATCTGGGTTTGAATTCTGCATTTCTGCATCTTACAAAACAAAGTTCATATAACTGCTCTTGAAAATGACCTCTAAAACCAAAATAAAGCAAATCGCTGCTAAGCACTTAAATCTCCTCAGTCTATGTTCATTTTTAATGGATTTTAGGCACCCAAAGAATGAAAATTATGAACTTAGATGCTGCATTTGTAAGAATTTATGGCATCAATAAATAATTCTTTTGCTTACAGACAATGGAAAATATGTGTTTTAAATTTGTCCTCTGACCACACACAAAATGATATTTTAATGAAAAATAAAGTGTTCAAATACACGTATTTTAAATCCTGGTGAGATTATATTTCCCATGATGACAAACGGGCTAAGCTTTTGGAAAGGAAAAGTAATGCAGGGTGGACACTCATAGCTGTGGTGTGTCACTGGAGATGTGTTCTCAACACAAAGCATGGGCCACTGAGGGGAATGTGAACATACCATGAGAGAACAAAAACCACTGTTGTGCTAGAAGTGTCTCCTGTCCAAACACAAACCTTTTTTTTGACTTGTGAAAAGCTTGGTTTTTATTGCCTTTTTTTTGTTTTTAATCAAAAGGAGAAAGAAACCCCCAGTATTTTTCAGAGAAAGTAGGTGCTCTTCATGAAGAAGTATCTTTAGAAGAAAAACTATGTTCTACAAAAATACCGTTAGGAAAAAAAGGGAGATCCAATGCCACTTTGTTTTTTATGTGTAAATAATAGTTCTGTCTGCAAAATAAAGATAAAATAGTCTGTAACATGTCAAAGACATCTAATATAATGTACCTCTAGATCAGAGTCAGGTGGTGGTGAAGGATTATTGTTTCTTCTGCCCCGTCCACGTGATTTCCCATCTGAACTACGACGCAATCTATCTGAATCTGAATCTTTAATGGGTGTTGATGGGCTGTGGATTGTACTGTATTCTGCTGTAGTAAAGAAATGTCATTTTTACCTTTCAGTTTAAACTTCAAAAGGTGCAATTTACTTGCTTTTTACATGACACACTAAAACCAGGATGTTCACTAAAGAGTCCTAACTAAAACAGTTAAATCTATAATGGTAAGTAGCAATACTGATACATAAATTAATTACATCAAGTTCAAGTTACATGTAACAACAGGGATAAATTATTTCTGTAAACAAATAAAAAAGAAGTAAAAAAATCTTCCTTCCTTCAAATCATAAAGAAGATTATATCACTTCACAGACAAGATTAAATTCTAAATGAACAATTTTAAGAGATATCAGCTTTTTTTTTTTAAAGAATACTGATTTCATTCTAAGTTTTGAAACATGCTTTATGATAACCATTATGGTGACTGTAAGAAAAAAAAAAAATCCAGCTGTGAAAAAAGAATAACATACAGAAGTTGAACTTTTCCAAATTGCCTGGTTGCAGACACTTTTAGATTGCTGCTATATTTGAGCCAGATGAATAGAATTCTTTCTGCATAAGGCATAAAATAGACTCCTTATTTTCCCACAGTAAGTTCAATTAATAAGTTTTAAATACGCATCAACTATGAAGATGAAATTTATAGTATTCTTCAAAGGCTTGCTCAACACTGAACTTTCCCAGTGAGTATATTCAAGATAGGATACAATTCTTTGTAAACAGTATTGTATGCTAAGTATTATGTTTCAGAAAAAATATATTTTCAAAAATATTTACTGTTGTTGAACAGGGAAAAATAAATGATGATTTACGTATGCAAGAACAACAAAGTTTTCCTGAAAACATGCTAGGTGGAAGATGTTTTGCTATTCTTAACATCCATATACTCATTGACAGTGAAGTGCTTGAACATTAACAAAGCAGACACCCAGCACAAATTACCTTTCCTAACTCATTTAACTAGAAGTGCCGTACTGCTCAGAAATGCAACAACACAGTTTTCAATATCTTCTCAAGACTTCCTTTCACAGTCTTAAGTTCACAGAGAAAAAACTTTTATTTTGACAGTTACCATTATTTTTTTTCTCCTAAGAAAAACCTATTTTTGTGAAGGCTGCTGGAATTTTCAGCATACAATGTATTTATCCATTTCACTTCTCAGTTAACATAACTAGTCTTTAGAGTTCAGAAAGTCTGGATATTTGTATCAATATTAATTTACTTTTTAATCAGTCTAGACCATGGCAACCCAGTTTGAACAGGCAGGTATACTTCTCACACAAGTGATTCTTTCTCCTAAAAAACCATCCTGTTGAGGTCAAAGGTAAGATTAAGGAGGAGACTCCAGACATCTGTGTAACACCACATATTCACAATTACTCAAAATAATAACAATTGCTTGTGCTGAATTAAAGGAAAAGGTCTTGCAGTTCTCACACTCAGCCTTCAAATCTACACTTAATGGAAATTAGTATATATTATATATTTCACAGTATATTTTTACCTAAGTATCCTAGGCTACATTAAACAAAGAATAACACGTTAAGATGTAATTCAAGGTAAAACAAAGAACTTTCAAAAAAGACTCAACCTATACCTGAAACAGAGATTATTTGTATGCGCCAAACAACAAAAATCATCCAGCCACACCAGTTTACACAACTAAAGACAGAGGTTTAAATGTTGAAGTTCATGTACATTCCAATAATACCTATTTTTTCCTATGACAATGTACACTTCAGAATGTTTATTTAAACTAATACTTTGAATGCTGATTGCTCTTTCATGTACTGTACTAAAACATAAATAAGAAATCATAACTCAACTAGTACAAACTTTCTCAGCTTTTTAAACTTCAATGAGTTTATCTGCTATACATTATTTTTATTACTAAAGTCCTTACTAAAAAATAAAAATAAAAAAAACAAAACAATGCACAAAGGCTTTGAAATAAATTAAAACCCAGTAAAATAAACAGACCGGAATTTCTTCAACAGGTATATTGGCCAATGATGTTTTAAATATGTGCTCTAAAACTCAGATGTAATGAAAAATTGTATTTCTTATCGACTAATTGAAATTAGGGTTGCTCTTGGTCTCTGACAGTATTTTTAGGAGTTTGGCTTTAGATTCCAGTTTTTTAAAGTCTTCTCATAGATGTGAGATGACTAAAATAATTAAGTATGAAACTTGGGGTAGTAGTAATAATACTAAATAAAATAGGGAACAGATAGCCTAGAAAAGTATAAAAAAAAATCATGACAAATAAAACTAAGCAAAACTAAAGGAGTGAGCACACAGAGCAGGGCGTGGTGAGGATGGGGAAGAAAGTCTGTTTGTAAGAGCCATCCAGCTTTCCATTTTTGTAAAAACCTTCATTTAAGTATACTGCATTCAAAACTTCAAACACAGGGCTGCAAATCTGGGTGGACGCTCATTTCCAGCTCCCCTCCTCAGGTGCAAGGCATCTGTCTGAATGGGTGAGACTCTCACCTGACAGAAAGACTCCCAAACCCTATCTCAGACCCCAAGTTTGGCTGGACACATCACAACCTTCTGGGGCCCATGGTACCTGCATCATTACCAAGAGAGATTTGCCTGTCTTGCTCTTATGGATCTCTGCAGGCTATCTACTCTGTGCTTTAACAGCCATACCATTACAAGTTCCGCATTCATTACAGCAATTTAAGTTCCATCCACATAAGTGTGGAAAAAAATATTCTCTTCATGGAATTTGCATGCATTTGACGACTGTTCTTGGATCCCCTTTGTTGCTAGGTTAACCCTTCTCTGATGATCCTCTTTTCCAGGCTTTGATTATTGCTCTCTATTTTCTCTCCAAACTGGACACAATCCAAAGCAAAGCTTAGCAAAGCTTTACATCCCATGTCCCTCAGGCTACCCTCCCTGGACACCACTTGTCAGGGGAAAATTTGCATTTTCTGCAATATTTTCAATAAATGTTAGTTTCAGGATCCCTAGGGCAAGAGTAGGACTGGATGATCCTTGTGGGTCCCTTCCAACTCACAACATTCTGATTCTGTGATTCTGAGGAAGAAACAGCATCTAACTGGTCATTTCTCAAAGACCTGTCCAAACATTGCACAAGAACTGAATACACAACATTGATAACACCTGGCACTTCTGAGCCTACTCAGGAGACCAGTCTCTTATGAACAGTGCAACAGATGGCAGTAACCAATGGAGGAAAACGTGACATAGTGTGTAAGAAACTTATTCCATGTATGTAAATGGAAACTGTAGCATGTACTCTTCGGATTAATGCTGCTTGACAGGGCAGCCTCCATGTGCATGGCTGGGTGAGCAGCTCACTGTCCAATGGTCGCTCTCAGGTCCTCATAAGGAAATTCAATTAAAGAATCCAGTATCCAGCTGAGCCCAGAGCCTTGACAAGCCCAAGCCCTGACAAATTCTGGAGCAAGAAAAACAACAGCGGCTGAGAGTACTCGGTGTGCCACTAATATTTGGAGTACTGAGTGGTCTGCAGGGAAAGGTAGAGCCTGGAAGGAGCTGCCAACATTCCCCATCCCACATTTGTGCAGTTCATCATTCCTGCCTAAATGTATACCTCACACCTGCTCCTATTCAGATCACATCTCCATTTTTTGAGTTCTCATCCTGTCTCCAAAGAACTCGCAGCCCCTCTCAGCATGGTGTCATCTACATATTTAATAGGCAAACACATTCTGTTCCGTCATCTAAATGATTGATGAAAATGCTGGGCCCAAGGCAGACACTGAGGAATGCTGCTGTAGCCATCCTTCTATTTTAACAGCAAGCTCTCACTGACTTCTCTCTGGCCATGGTTTCCTAAGCAGCCTTATATCATTCTGCTGTAGTTTCTGCTAGACTGCTTTAGCCTAGTTTGCTTATAAGATTTTTAAGTGAAAAGATTCAAGTGTCAAGGCAGCAAAAGCTTTGCTGAAGTCAAGCTATATAGCCAGAAAACACATTATTGCTATACCCATTATTCTACATTCATTGGCAGGAGGAGGTTAATTTCTTCAACCTCAGCTAACTTCATAGTAACAGATATACTTTATTATTAGCCAAGGGAAATGATTATGTTTCTAAAGCATTTAATTTTATCCTGTTCCTCAGCATCACAAACACAGGGAAATGCAGGAGAAAACCCATCCCTCCACAAAACTGGTTGGACTCGATGATCTTAAAGGTCTTTTCCAATGAAAACAATTCTATGATTCTAAAGCCATGAGTGGAAAAGGGGGTGAGGATCAGGTCTCCGCTGCTTGTTCCAATACTAAAGCAAGATCACCAAAGGAAACTAGCAGCAGCCAGGTTTAAACACAAGAACAGGTAGTTCAGAAAAAAGAATCACAGAATGGTTTGGTTTGGAAGGGACCTTCAAAGGTCATCTAGTCCAACCCCCCTGCAGTGGACAGGGACATCTTCAACTAGATCTGGTCACTCAGAGCCCCATCCAACTGGGCCTTGAACGCTTCCAGCGATGGGGCATCTACCACCTCTCTGGGCAACCTGTTGCAGCACTTCACAACCCACATCATAAAAATTTTTTTCCTTATATCTAGTCTGAGGTTAAGAAAAACCCAAACAAAAAACAAATCCCAAACTAGGAGATTTGTAGCACCTTTTCTCAAAAAATGCCAGGCTCCTAAAAGATTACAAGGGTTCAAGATGAGCCTGGAGACATCCTTGGAAGAGAGGAGTTCAGGGGTACTGTGGCAGGTTGGGTCTGTGTGACCAAACAAGCGGTGGCAATGACCCTAGTCTTCACTGTCTGTTTCTGGGAGGTCATTTTTCTAGGTCCAGCCTGATCTCACTTCCTGAGCATCCTCAGTAGAGGCTGGAGGAATTAGAAGCTGTCCTGGAGGACACCTTCCAGGTTAGTTTTGCCTGGAAGGACTCCAGCTGGGTGCTCTAGGACCACTCTGCTGGGCCAAAGCTCTTCACTTCAAAACAAACTCCTGCTCCAAATTAAAATGCTAATATAGGCACACCCTAAACATACTAACAACAACAGCTTTGGAA